GACAAGATACGTATAGTAAAGGTAGACAGTCCCTTTTTGGTAGTTTCGAGAAGATATTGGAGGCGGGGGGCAATATATCACAGTCTCTTTTTGGTAGTTTCGAGATGATATTGGAGGCGGGGGCAATATATCACAGTTCCTTTTTGGTATACAAAACGTAATTTACAATTTCTTGAGAATTTAAATCTTCTATCTTTATGTGAGTGAGGATTAGTAAAAAAGTAAGATTTTATCTCATTTAATCACGTGTTGAAGTTTTGTTGTTTATATTTATTTATCTATGTTTTTACTTCTAAAAAGAAAAATGTTCAATGTAATTTTTTATGTTTTTATTTGTTTTCATCGTGGCATTTGTAGTTTATAGTTTGTATATAAAATAAACAATTAGCAAACTGACCAACCAGAAATATAAAATATTCAATCATTATTATTCACAAGCATTCATCCGTTTAAATACAATAGGATTGACAAAATAGGACAAAACTAACTGATGTTTTATTAAATCTTTAGAGATTTATTATTCAACATTTTGCACGCAATTTCAAGATTCATAGCACAAAATGTTTCTTGATTTTTGGTATTTGCTTTCTTTTAAATCTAGAAAATTTGAAAAATATTTTTTAATTAAATGTTTTTGTACATAAAAGTACATCCTGAGTGAATTTAAGAATAAATATTAGAATATTGAACTGTTTACAAATAGGTAAAAGATACAGAAAGTAAATTATTTTTAAATATTTTTAATATATTCACTGTACTACCTGTTATATTCACTATCCTACCTAATATATTCACTACTCTACCTAATATCTTCACTATCCTACCAATATATTCACTATCCTACCCGCTATATTCACTATCCTACCTAATATATTCACTATATCCTACCTAATATATTCACTATCCTTCCTAATATATTTACTATGCTACCTAATATATTCACTATATCCTACCTAATATATTCACTATATCCTACCTAATATATTCACTATATCCTACCTAATATACTCAGTATATCCTACCTATAATATATTCACTATATCTTACCTAATATATTCACTATCCTACCAAATTTACTTACTATCCTACCTAATGTATTCACTATATCCTACCTAATATATTCATTATCCTACATAATATATTTACTATCCTAACTAATATTTTCACTATCCTACTTAATATATTCACTATATCCTATCTAATATATTCACTATATCCTACCTAATATATTCACTATATTCTACCTAATATATTCACTTTCCTACCTAATATATTCACTATATCCTGTCTAATATATTCACTATATCCTACCTAACATATTCACTATATTCTACCTAATATATTCACTATCCTACCTAATATATTCACTATATCCTATCTAATATATTCACTATATCCTATCTAATATGTTCACCATATTCTACCTTATATATATTTACTATCCTACCTAATATATATATTCACTATTCTACCTAATATACTCACTATCCTACCTAACATATTTCACTATATCCTACCTAATATACTCTATGGTTAAGTAGAATCCTTTATTTGTTGAATTGTTGGTTTAAAATGTTTGTTTGAGTTTAGTTACATCTTCACAGTGTGTAAGATGAGGGTACCATGGGGGAGTAGGTGAGGGGACTAGAAGAAGGAAGTATTTGCTGGGGAGTAGAAGATGGTAGTAGGTGCTAGGGAGTAGAAGATGGTGAGGGGAGTAGAAGATGGGAGTAAAAGTTTGTAATGAGTGCTAGGGAGTAGAAGTTGGTAGGAGGTGCTGGGAATAAGTATTTGGTAGTAGGTGCTGGGGAGTAGGTGTTGGGGTTCAGAAGTTTCTAGTAGTTGCTGGGGAGAAGAAGTTGGTAATGGGTGCTAGGGAGTAGAAGTTGGAAGTAGGTGCTGAGGAGTAGAAGTTGGTATAGGGTGCTGGGGAGTAGTAGTTTGTAGTTGGTGCTGAGGAATAGAAGTCGGTAATGGGTACTGGGAGTAGAAGAAGAAGATTGGAGTAGGTGCTAGGAAGTATATGCTGGCAAAATATGCTAGGGAAAAGAAGTTGGGAGTAGGTGTTACGAAGTAGAAGAAGATAGGAGTAGGTGTTGGCCTGGTAAAAGATGCTGGGTGGTATAACTTATAGGAGTATCTCTCTTGGCATTATGGGATGGGGGGAACAGTAAATAGGTTATAATTCAGGAGGTAGTAGGTGAATTAGGAACTGAGAAGTATAACTGAACCTATCTCCTGGGTAAGGTTGGATGAAGTATAACTGAACCTTTCTCCTTCGTAAATTTAGATAAAGTAGAACTAAACCTATCTGCGATAAGGTTGAATGCAGTATAATTGAACCTCCTGAGAATGGTTAGATGAAGTTTATCTAAACCTATCTCCTGAATAAGGTTGGATAAAGAATATCTAATTCTATCTCTAGAGTAAGGTTTAAAAAATACAGAACTGAACATTACCCCGTAAAAAAAAATAGGATAAGTAAGCTTGGTTAATGAACAGCACACAGAGAAACTTGAATAAAAACAAGATTCAGCCAGAGTTTGAAAACTTGGTAATTAATTAGCTAAACTATTTCCTCCAGAAATACTGCAATGTAGTTACAGGTCAGGTTTTATGTTTGGAGTGATTGCAGTCTTAGTTCTTTCTTTTATATTTCTGTCATATTTACATATATTTCAATCAATAAATATTTGGTATTTCTGTGTATTTCATACAGTCAATATTTAGTTAATACTGTTTATTTCTGGCGATCTATAGAATAAAACAAGACATAAAACAAGACATTCATGTATATGTTCCCTATAGCTGTAGTTACAGGTTAGGTTTTATGTTTGGAGTCATTGCAGTCTTAGTTCTTTCTTTCATATTTCTGTCATATTTAAATATATTTCAGTCAATAAATATTTGGTATTTCTGTGTATTTCATACAGTCAATATTTAGTTAATACTGTTTATTTCTGGCGATCTATAGAATAAAAAAGACATTCATATATATGTTCCCTATAGCCGGCCAAACGGCTGGACTGAATGGGCTGACATTTTTTGTGAACACTCATGGGTAGCCTGGGGGTTATATAAGCTAAAAGAAATCCGGGTTTTAAAAAAAAATTTTGTTCAAAATATGTTTTTTTCCGTAGCATTTTTTTCCCACGGGCAACGTCGGGCCCTTCAGCTAGCATTTAATATTACTGTTTATTCCAGTAAATATTTAGTATTTCTGTATATTTCAGCCATGTTGAAAAAAGTTTACGGGACGATTAATCCATATGAAATTGATCCGAAATTATCGTCCTGTAAACTTTTTTTTCAGCATGTCACAGCTATTTCTGTGTTGTATCTAGGAGTCTATCTCCTAGAAGCTACACAACTAGTTCTGTGTAGTATCTAGGAGATAGACTCCTAGAAGTACACAGCTAGTTCTGTGTAGTATCTAGGAGATAGACTCCTAGAAGCTATACAACTAGTTCTGTGTAGTATCTAGGAGATAGACTCCTAGAAGCTATACAGCTAGTTCTGTGTAGTATCTAGGAGATAGACTCCTAGAAGTTGAACAGCTAGTTCTGTGAAGCATCTAGGAGATAGACTCCTAGAAGCTACACAACTAGTTCTGTTTAGTATCTAGGAGATAGACTTCTAGAAGTTACACAGCTAGTTCTGTCTAGTATCTAGGAAATAGACTCTTAGAAATTGCACAGCTAGTTCTGTGTAGTATCAAGGAGATAGACTCCTAGAAGTTGCACAGATAGTTCTGTGTAGCATCTAGGAGATAGACTTCTAGAAGCTACACAGATGGTTCTGTGTAGCTTCTAGTAGATAGACTTCTAGAAGCTACACATCTAGTTCTGTGTATCTTCTAGTAGATAGACTCCTAGAAGCTATACAGAACGATTACTCCGTAAATTTTCAAACTTATTTATTGCTAAATAACAGCTTCAGAAAAGTTCCGTCGTAAGGCCTTTATGGAACCAAATTGACCCTGAAAAAATAGAAGCACTAGTTTTGATACAGGGTGTCCCAAAAAACATGGAAATTCAGTGACGAATTCGATATCGTCTTTGTTATGAATTAACATTGTAACACCTAATTTCAAAAGCCATAATATTATTATGTCTGCTAGAGTTTATTTTATGAAAAGGGTAAAAGACTGTAAAGATGTGTCTATAATGTTTCCGCAAGATGAACAGTGAAGGCGGACAAATTTACTCTGTTTGTATACCGTAATTTTCTTGTTTTAATGAGTAAAACCGTTGCAGTCAAAACATAAACAAACAAAATGTGAACATAGCAGACGAAACTCTTACAGATTACAGCTTTCTGAGTAGGTATCACTTTACTAAATCAAAGAATTATTTGAAAAGATGATATCGAATTCGTACTGAATTCCCATGTTTATTGAGACACCCTGTAAAAAGCTAAAAAGGTATTGAGTTTTTGCCACAAACTCATATCTTCTGATCCCAATATCTTTGCAACCTGAAGGTGCACACCTTTGATATTTCAAACTTAGATTATTTTATATAGTTATAGTTATAGTATTTATTTTCAAACACAAAATACAAAATAATATTGCATGATTGTTTAGCTTAAAATATAACACAAAAGAAAATGTATTATGAGCCAATTAAAAATATATTGTTTGATAATTTTGATAACTTTGACATCTACCATTAGCAAAGGGTGTGAACCCATACTCGTTGACTGTACTAGACTTTGACATCTACCATTAGCAAAGGGTGTGAACCCGTACTCGTTGACTGTAGTAGACTTTAACATCTACCATTAGCAAAGGGTGTGAACCCGTACTCGTTGACTGTAGTAGACTTTGACATCTACCATTAGCAAAGGGTGTGAGCCTATACTTGTTGTCTGTAGTAGACTTTGACATCTACCATTAGCAAAGGGTGTGAGCCCATACTTGTTGTCTGTAGTAGACTTTGACATAAATTTTAGCCATTTTACTGCACAATAAATAATTTCAGACAGCGCAATAATGCCTGCATGCATAATCTGTAAAACAAGGAATGCAAAATTTGTGATACTGAAAAATGAAGATTCTTAGAAATATATCTATTGGTCCTCACTTTTTTATTTTGACAGATTAAAGAAAGGTTGAGAACTAGACATAGTTTTAAAGTTATTAAGAGAGGCGTATTCAGGTTTTTTTCCAGGAAGAGCTTACATTTCTTTTTCTTTTTTAGGAGAATGAGCCCCCGTAGCCCCCCTGAATACGCCTCTGGATAATAAAATAGATGTGTTTAAGATATTTCCTAACATATTTCGGAATGGAGTGAGATTTGAAAGAACAAAACTAAGCACTTTTAAAGTTAAATATAGAATTAGAAGTTCCAGACTGAATCAATGAATTGATTAAGCGACTATATAGTATTTACATATAAACTACATGTTCACATAATGTTCAATAAAACAATACCTCCGAAAGATTTAAGTTCTCATGAATATAAACTCATATTTTGTAATCCCCAGATCTTTGCAGTCTGATGGTGTAAACTTTTCATATTTCAAACTGAGGCTATAGAATTTAATATAGTTAATAGTTTGAAATCAGATTTCGTGGCAAAGAATAAATTTCTTTGATTAAATGTAAACGATTTTTTTAGTTTTTAGCTGAAGAGTAAAATAACGTATTCTCCACACATGCACCTAACATATGTAAGAGACTGACAACTGCTCCATATCGTAGCTTTAAAAAATACGTTTAACCTGGACTATAAAGAAAAAAAGAAATCTAAATATAAAAAATGTTTGCTTGAACCACTCCACCTTTTTTTCTAAATATTCAAGTTAAAGGTTTACACAAAGGATGAGATTGTAAAGACGACCTGAAACACTCTTTAAATATGACGATTCCAAAGTTACATTCAGTCTTCTGCTTTAAAGGTAGTCTTTTTCAGACCTTTTTAATGATTTCGAAACGAAAGAAACAAGCTTCAGTTCCATAGAATGATAAATGTAAGGAAACAGACAGTATGAATTTTTACAGTCGTCTCTGAAGTCTCATTCTTTGTGGGCAACCCTGTAGCTCACAAAAAAGGGGGAAACGAAGACGACTGTTAGAAGAAGTATCAACAGACAGCACTACAGTGTACAGAGTCCACTCACATATTTATGGCAGTTATTTTTTTCTAGAGCTCATGGACATATGTAATTAATAAGCGGTAGTTACACCAATTGATTTTATTAATTTTAGGTCGTCTTTGCATCAAAATTTATTCTGGCCGCCACAGTATTATATAATCTATAAATCTACATTGATTCTACGTAGTTCAAATAGATTTTGGAGTCTGCAGAGTTTATCAGATTCTACGGAGAACTGTTTAAATATGGGTAAACTAATCTAACTTCCTGAATACTGTGTTTTCTTTGATAATCTTTTCTTGAGTAGCAGAGCTCGGAGGGAACTCGCTTCATCCCTCAGGGTACACACCTAGATACAGATAGATAGATAGATTCAGACAAGATACGTATAGTAAAGGTAGGGGGATAGGGTTTGGGTACATATTACTGGTCAGGAACTGGTTTCAGGTAAATAAACAGCTATTAGTAAACAAACACGGTCTTCCACCGTACCCAGGACAGTTCAGAGCTTTGTTACAATCTTTGTTATTATTTTGATCAAACTTGTTCCCAGCAGTCCTAATACGTCACAGTGAAATGTGTACATAAACCATATCCCTACCTTTAGTTTAAATACCTTAGATTCAGGTATCAAAATATGTAGACAGTGGATAGAAAAGGACGGAGAAACAAATGTTAGATAAATATAAAAAGCTGGATGAATAGATGGATAGTTTACCTGTACTCTTAATACAGCATTCTCCTTCTCCAATGAATCCGCTCTATTACAGATTTGATCCTCCCTAGAGAGATTAAACTTGAATCAAACCAACTTTAGATCAACAGATTTACAAACCTGATCTTTCTCTGATCCCGGGATTTCTTAGCAGCAAGATTATTCCTCTTCCGTCGTTCAAAATATTTTCCATCCTTGAGATCCTCAGGGATCGGTTTCTTCTCTCCTCTTTGCCTTCTGGGAACCGTCTTTAGGGTGGAAATCTTTAATCCTGAGTTTAAACTAAAGTTTGATCGGTTCCAGAGTTTACAATAAAACTTAGGACTCTGGAGAGAGGAGATAAAAGACGAAAATCACGAGAAATATTTTGATCAAACTTTTCTCAGAGTAAAAATTATAATAGTTAATAGCTGTAATTAATAAGACTGAGGGGGGATGAGGTAAGGATTGGTGGGGTATTGGGAAAAATAAGGTTTTGGTAAGGTTAGGTGGGGGTAAGGGGGAATTGGGTAAGTGCAGGTTAGGATGGATTGGGTATGGGTAGAGGGGGAAATTGGGTATGATTGGGTAAGTGTAGGTTAGGGGAGGGTTGGGTTGCGTAAGGCTAAGTGGGCGGGTGAGAGGGCATTGGGTAAGTGATGGGAGAATGGGTAAGGGTAAGGTGGAGGTGAGGAGGCAAGGGGGTGGTTAGGGTGAGAGTTCTAATAAGGGTAGGTGGGAGTGAGGGGGTGAGGGGTGGTAAGGCTTGGATTTAATATATTTCAGAATAAAGTTTTATTCCTTGGCAAGAGCGAGAGTTAGAAGGTTTCCATTACTTGTTGAAGGGGAAACCGCGGCAGGACTGAATTCATCAACATATTAATATTATTAATATTCATCTCATGCAAATTCAAATATTTCAAAACATCTAATAAAACAACAATTTTTTCTCAAACTTTTCCCGAGAATAGAAAATTACATAATTACATTTCTGATGCTTGATATTTTTTTTTTCCAATTTTCAATAACTGTTCTCCCATCCACATATACTCCCCCTTGCTTGGGGCAATGGCAGAGATCAATGATAAAAAGCAAAAAATTGTTGAACGAGAATCCAACATAAAAGTTCCCCGCTCCGTTCAAACTATTTTTTCCTCCTCATTAGATCACACCTTATGTTCCACAAAAAGTTCAAAGGTTTAATTATCGTACAAAAAAAACTATAGATAAGATAAGATAAGATAAGATAAGATAAGATAAGATAAGATAAGATAAGATAAGATAAGATAAGATAAGACAAGATAAGATAAGATAAAATAAGATAAGATAAGATATAGTTAATTGCCAAAAATACAAAAAATCTGCAACTATTTTTATATTGTTTACTATATGTATTATAGCAATTATGACGAGATTAGCTTTCGCTGTTTTCCCCCACCTAATTAATATTAAAATGTTTACAATATGATGAATATTACTAGGTTTTGAAAGTTCACAAAAAGTCAGGGATTACTAGTTAAATTTAGAGAGACCGAGGTGCAGCATATCAAAATAATTGATTTTAAAGTTTAGTACGTATAACAGAATAAGATTAAGCATGTATACAATAATCTACCAATATTTATATTAATTTTTTGCAAGAGGGTTTATTGCACTTTGAGATGTAGTCGTCAGATAAATTAGAGAAGACAAGTGAAATATAGGTTTGCCCATGAAGAGTGAGTCTTCAAAGACGACTGTACGGAATATATCGTGTCTGTTTCCTTATCTTCATTATTCCCTAAACTGTAAAGAGGAGTAGGAAAAGGTAAGAAAGAGAAGGATGAGAGAGGATAGAAGATAGGGGAGAAGGAGAGGGGAAAAGAAGAGGGAAAGGGGATAGAGGTATCAATGTTATACCTGAGATTAGGAGAGGAGAGGATCGGAGATGGAATCTTCAAGTTCAGCAGTGCAGAGGCAGCTAGAACCTTTCTTATTCCTTTATAAACAATATTAACTTTAGATAACTTATTTATCTTAACATACCAGTGGTATTTTATTTTAATGATAATTAAAAATTGTTTTAAGACACACCTTCCTCTGTTGTGTTAATCATTATAGGTTGATTATTCTCTGGCGAACTTGGAGAAACATCTCTGGAGTTCTGAGATTCCTTATCAGTATTCTCCTTACACTTGGATATTAAAAGATCCAACCCGTCTTTGGTATTTATTATTTTCTCCAGGTTGTTCATCTCAGTATCTTCTTTACCTCGGAGTTCCTCTGAACCTATACTGTTCAAAATGTTTGAGTTTTCCCCTGAGTTTACACTGTGCTCCTTGTCTAGGTATTGAACTAGTGTAGAGGAATCTACTCGTCTATTTCTCTCCAAGAATTCAACCACAATCTTAATTCTTTCTTCAACAAAACAACTAGATTTTCCAACCTGATCTTTGCCCTTACAGCTAGATGATACTTCTCCGTCCTGCTTTTTCAATTCACAATTTGATGCTTTTTCTCCGTCTTGCTCATCAGTCGCCCTTTCTTCGTCCTTCTCTTTCATCGATATTCCCTCTCCGTCCTGTGCCTCCTGAAGTTGTGTCCTGAACCCTTTGAACATTCCTAGTTAGTGGTTGAGGATCCAGGACCCGAGACTTGACCTAACTGCCGTAAAAACTGATTTAAAATTCAGGTTTAATCAACACAATTCGGACATAATCATTTTTTCTTAAAATATCCCCAACATAAAGATAGAAAGAATATAAGATTTTGATGCATTAATATTTAATAGATTTGTATCTAACCTTGTATATAAGATTAAAGATTAAGAAAGGTTGTGGCTGGGTCTAGGAGAAAGGTATAATTGGTAAATTATGAATTATATATTAGAGATGGAACTAGAAACTAATAATACTCAACACTGTAGAAAGCAATTGTTTTCCATGATAATAATAATAATGATAATAATAATAATGATGATGATAGTAAAGTATGTGGTATAAAGAATGAGAAAATGAGATTGGAGATTATCAAAGAGCATCAAGTATAAAAATTGAAAAAAAGGAGGGGAACAGAATATAAATCGAAGGGGGACGTAAAAAGAAGCTGAGATTGGAAATATCAAATCAATCTAAACAAATTTGAAACGAGAGTGAGTCAAAAAATAAAAAGGGGGCATGCGAATATGAATGGTTGGAAAAGGTGAAAAACGGGAAAAGGGTATGTAAAAGGGGGAATTTAAAGGGAGTGGAATGTAAAGAAGCCCGAGCAAGAATGTAAAAGGAGGAGGATTGTAAAGGGAGGAGTGATATAAAAGGAGGAGTGTTAAAGCCGAGGAATGTAAAACAGGAAGAATGTAAAAGAAGGAGTGTAAAGGAGGAAGAGTGTAAAAGGAGGAAGTGTAAAAGGAATGGGAGTGTAAAAGTCATGGAATGTAAAAGAATGAATGTATAGGAGGAGGAGTGGAAATGGAGTAGGAGTGTAAAATTACAGGAATGTAAAAGATCGAGGAGGAGTGTAAAAGTCGAGGAATGTAAAAGAATGGATGTAAAAGGAGGAGGAGTGTAAAAGGAGGGGAAGTGTAAAAGGAGGAGGAGTGTAAAAGGAGGGGGAGTGTAAAAGGAGGAGGAGTGTAAAAGAAGGAGGAGTTTAAAAGGAGGGGAATGTAAAATGAGGAGTGTAAAATGAGGGAAAATGTAAAAGGAGGAAGAGGAGTGTAAAAGGAGGGGGAGTGTAAAAGGAGGAGGAGTGTAAAAGGAGGAGGAGTTTAAAAGGAGGGGAATGCAAAATGAGGAGTGTAAAATGAGGGAAAATGTAAAAGGAGGAAGAATGTAAAATTAGGAAGAATGTAAAAGGCGGAAGAATGTGAAATGAGAAGGAATGTAAATGAGGAAGAATGTAAAATGAGGAGGAATGCAAAAGGAGGAGGAATGTAAAAGGAGGAAGAATGAAAAGGAGGAAGAATGTAAAAGGAGGAGGAATGTAAAATGAGGAGGAGTGAAAAAGGAGGAAGAATGTAAAATGAGGAAGAATGTAAAAGGAGGAAGAATTTAAAAGGAGGAGGAGTGTGTAATAATGTATAAAGGAAAAAAGGAAAGGAGTGTAAATGTAAAAGGAGGGGACAGGGGTGGGTGGGTGTCGAATGTTTGAACTGCGCGCTATATAAGTCTCCTAGCGGACACACACAAACACTCGACACACAAACAGCGCTAGTTTAATAGAAGAATCAGCTGATTACTGGGTCTTTCTCCCTCAGTAGTCTGTACTCTGCTTTGTTTGTAAACACTCCATCTCTACAGCTGAGAGTGAGAAATTGAGAATGGAGAGATGATCATGAAGAAATGGAACAAAAGTAAGAAAAAATTACATCATATTAGGGGTCTGTCATAGAGAACGAATTTTGCTCCACCCCCTCCTATCAATTTTGTACATAACCTAGATTTCAACTATTTTCAACAAAAGAATATTTATTTTGTATTATTTCAGGGTTAGGTTAGGTTAGGACAATTTCTGGGCCAAGCACTGCGGCTAGGACATGCTAGGGGATTGTGCAATCGGGTTATTTAGGGTCCGTCCTAGAGAATGATTTTTGGACCCCCCCTCCTATCAATTTTGTATATGTCCACTAGTATTTATTTAGGGTTAGGTTAGGTTAAGACACTTTCTTGGCCGAGCGCTGCAGCCATGGGTTAGGTTAATACTTGCTTCTTTGGATTTGAATGTCCGGGAAATATTTTCATTTTATGTCTTTGTTTTGAACTTTTGAATCAGCTTTGTATAATATATATTATTTTACTTTAATTGTATTGTATTTAATAAATGGCGCACCAACCCCCTCTTTAAGCCGCCTTACCTGAAATTGAATACAACTTATGATAATTATTTTATTATCTAGATAAACTGCTACTGTATCAATCATGACCATGAAAGATAAGGAGAGAAGAGCTGAAGCAATTAAACCTTCAACTCAGTACTGAACAATAATCGAGAGAAAATGCAGTATTTCTGCTTTCTTCTTATTTTATCAAATCCAGGTTTGTTTTTCTTCAATCTCTCGGGTTGGAGCTGTGGAGAAGGGATTATGTGACAATATTTATTCTCTTTTTGTTTTTCCTCATTTTCATATTTGCTAGCTTTTCAAAACAATTGTCTTGTTACATCAACACGTCAGAGGCGTATTCAGGGGGGGGGGGGCTAGGGGGGCTTAGCCCCCCCTCTATATGGGTTTCAGGGTGGTATTGTGCCTAAATTGGTACTGAGCCCCATAAAAAGAAAAAAGAGTAATCCCTGTCTGTACACATTTTTTAATACGCCCCTGAACACCTAAAACCAAAATAAAAAAAAATAAAATCCTTTTTTGTAAAAGTAGCCTCTTAAAGTTTTAGCAAGAAAAAATAAAAAATGAGGGCGGGGGGGGGGGCGGAAGGGGTTACGCCAATTATGCTTTAAGGCTGTAAGCCTTAGATTTAGTTTATATTTTAGGAATATTTAAAAAACTCATTGAAATATGACTCTTATCAATTTAAAATAATCTTATCATATTTCGTCAGTTATACGTCACTGCGTATTTGCAATCATATCTAATCAATTTACGATGCAACCTGTAAAAAAATTACTTAAAATAGCGGCCCTCTTTTTTTACCTTTTAAATGGATTGATCTAAAAACAGTTCTATCTAAAACACCTTTAAACATCTTTTAAAAACTGACAGTTGTTTTCTGATACCTATCTTTCTGAACCAAAAAAAAAAAACAGTTTCTGTGATTGATTTACTTTTAATTTATTTAACTTAAAATTTACTCTGTATTCTCCCTGTATTCTGTTTTATTGCTTCAGCGCCAATGTCCCATTTAATTTATGTAATATTTTTTATTTAATCTTTTTCTGTTTATCTATTTAGAATAATAAATGTACAGGGCTAAATTTAAACATCGAAATACATTATTATTATTATTATTAATAGTATAAATCTGCGTAACCCTACTACCTTCAGACTATTCTAACCCAATTTATAAAAATATGTGAATGCGTTTACTTAAATTTTACATTAAATATGTGTTCTAATTTTTTCTTTGGCCCCATTTTGGAAAAGTGCTGATAAATCAAAATAATGTTAGTTGAAACTGAAAACATTACACCATTTCATTTCTAATTTGAAAATGCATGTAAAAAAAGTAAGAAAATTAAACTGAACATGGAAATATTGAATTAAAAAATTGCGCCGAATTTTCAAATACAACATTATTTCTGATATAATCGGAAACGCTTGGTCTAAGTCCTCCGGGTTAAGGGTTATCATTGAATCCCTCGGGATTTTAAATTTAATCCCTTGGGATTTTAAATTTCCATTAATGAATTTTTTTCTGAGAGAAAATTATACATTTTTGAACTGAACAGATTGATTCCATCCTTTGAGAGAAAAAAGTTTGTTGTTTATTAAACCTTGTTCTTTTTACAGGGTTGAATATTCTCGTCTCCGGTCTCCGGGTTCAAGATGAGCAGAATACAATATTCTCCGGTCTCCGGGTTCAAGATGAGCAGAATACAATATTCTCCGGTCTCCGGGTTCAAGATGAGCAGAATGAAATATATCTTGAAGTGTCCACGAAGGATGTTGAAATTCTGTTAGGAGACACAGCTAATGTTACATTATTTCTAAGGTATCAGATCATTATCAACATTAGATTTTCTTCTACATTTTAACATCCACGTAATTTTTTCCTATTTTCTATACTCCAATGAGTCAGATAATACTTTGTTGAGTAAGTTTAGAACTAAAAAAGAGAAGGCTAAAATTTTCCTAGCCACCTCCATTTTTGGCTATCGAATTATGAAGAAAATTTTGACTCGCCAATTTAAATGTGGGATTTTTCAAGTTTTAGTTTATAATGGTTAGCTATCACCAAACCAAAAATGTCCTTTCGATTTATAAAGACAAGGTTGGACATATAGTTTCAGCCTCATATCTTAATTTCAGAGGGCAACATTTTGCCGAATTGCACTTCCTTACCAATTTTCAAGAATTATGTTCACGTTTTCTACAATGCAATTTTTCTTGAGTTGAATTTAAATTTTGGGAGCTTGTTCAAAAGCAAAATAATTCTTGATTATATTTTTTTGGGGGGACACCATAAACAAGAATTATAGTTTGATTAAAAATTCATGAATTTTTATTTTCTAAAACTAAATGTTATTAAAAATGAGTTTTTCTTATCATCCCTTGTACTGTAATTTTGTTCAATTTTAGGTCTGATGGTCCTATACCACCAGCATTAAGCATCGAGGTGTCTTTCATAACAGACAATTCTAATATTATCAAACCTATTCCAACTGTTATACTCACTCAGGCAATCCAACATAAATACATCTTAAACTTTTATTGATTCTCATGATGAACTCAAACTTAATCATCCAATTGACAGAAAGTTGAAAGAACTAAATTAAAGACTTTTGGGCCTTGCATTACATACATATATATTACTTTTTTTTGTGACCGTTCATTCTTTTTATTCACGAACTGTAATTTTAAAAAAGATTAATATTCCCCTGTGACCTCTCAGTATTTATCTTGGCCAATTCCAACCACTTTGGATAATTATTAATTACTGACCACTTTGTATCATTACTGACCACTTTGTATCATTACTGACCACTTTGGATCATTACTGACCACTTTGCATCAGTACTGACCACTTTGTATCAGTACTGACCACTTTGTATCAGTACTGATGCCTAATAACTTATGATGACCATTTTAACCTACTCTGATTTATTTGGGCAAAGCAATCATAAAAACTGCCATCATACACTTATTAACAATTGTCAATTAATCCCTCAACTAAAAACTTTCAATGACCTTCCCAGATATAGCTTGACCTATCCTGACCCCAATGACCTACCCAGTTACATTTTGACTTATCCTGACCCCAATGACCTACACAGATACATCTTGACCTATCCTGACCCACTATGACCTATATGAATCTTGACCTGTCCTGACCTTCCTTATCCTACTGAGATGAATATTTTGACTCGTATCTAAATGTTGGATGAGTGTAGGATGAGAATATAACCATCAGTATAGAACCAATACTAGCCGGACATGTCGTCATCCAAACAAACACTTCTAGTCCAGAAATCAGGTTAATACTAGATTATTACATAATTACATTATCTAACTATCATTATTCATTATATATTTGTGTTTTCATGCTTTTACCTTTTTGATAATTGAAATTAAAAATCTAAAAAGTTTTACCGACTTCCACAAAAATCGGAGAAGTTTTGCAAATGTGAAAATAGTTTACTCTAAACATTTGGTTTTCTTACAGTGTGTATGCCTAATTTTGATCAAGGAGAAAATACTACAAAGTTTAATAAAAGCAAACTTCTACAGAAAAAAAAATATCCACGTAATGTCCACTAGAAGTAAGATTCCATACTATTTTAAAAGCAATAAAAATTCAAAGCAAAATACTATGGATTTAGTTTGAAAATAATTAGATTAGTAAGAAAATTTTGGGTTTCATGAAAGTGACATTTTATATTGTCACACTTTTAGTAGCCATCGCATGATTTCCATATAGCTTTACAAGTAAATCTTTTTACAACATATTTAAACTAAATTTAGCAATTTTCAAATATAACTACTTTTTTAATCGCAAGCCCTTCCTTCTTTTTCCTTCCAAAGTAGAGAGAAGTATTTAAATAAGATTTCCTCTTGTACAAAATATGATTTTTTTATATGTATTGTCTGAATATAACTAGTTTCTTGACAAGGTAGTAAAGAAGTTCAGTTCTTAATTAAAGTGTCAGATAACATGGAGATTCATCAACGGTACAGATTAGATACTGGATCAGTATCTTTATAATAAGTGTTAGGCTTGATCCGTAATACAAAGCTCGTAATTTTAAAAGTATACAGTTTACAGTCATAATCAGAAAGACCCGGAATTAATTAACAGTTAAATGCTCAAAAAAAGGCAGACCACATTTTGAAAATTGCAGGACAAGGGCTATTTAGTGCTTATCGTTTCATCACATATATTTGTAAAATTAAATTGTAAAGTCGTCTGATTAATTATAAATTAATTCCAGGTCTTTCTGATTATTACTGCATATAAGTTATTTGTGTAAATAATTGGCTTGTATGTTTTTATCCAAAAAAAAAACGTCAAAATGGCTAAACCGATCAGGCCTATGTTTTTGTGGAATGGGTCGGGTATTTTATCACTCCAAAAAGTTTACATTTAAAAAATCTTTTCTTCTAAAATTCACAAATTAAATTAAAAAGATTGGAGAAAATTGTGCAAAAAGTGAAAAAGAAAAATTGGTCGTAGGTAGATAAGTTTGAATACATGAGAATATGGCTGATTTCTGTTTTCTGAAAAAGAAAAAAGAGGTTTTAAATTGGCTGTTCTCAGCTATTTTAGTTGTAAACATATGCTGGCCTTTTATATTATAAAAATATTACGTATATCTAGTTTAACAAGACTCAGTTCATATTTCTTATTGCATCAGTGTTCAAATAGTCATTTTTTTTAATAAATTACAAAACCAAACTGCTCCTTTATATGGCCTTTATTTCACCTCTAATGATTTCAATTTAAAAATATGTTTATAAAGCATATATGTAATCCTTAGTTTGGGATGTAGGAACTCAATTTTGAAGACTATAAACATGATTTTAACGGACCCTTCATTGATAGAGCTGCATGTCCGATTCACAACAGCACCATTTAAACATATTTGATAATATTGTGGAAGATAGCGACGTTTTTTGAGCTTGAAAAGTGTTAAATTCTGATAATTAATTCCTTGTTTCTGAAGTGAGAAATTGTGGTTAGTTTTGATAATTTTTCCATTATTTCTGAAGCAAGAAATGCGCATGATATTTTAGCAGAGAAACTACAAATGAAAATAAAAAGTTTTCAAAAACAAAAATATGGATATCTAATTTATCCCTCCCTCCCTCCCTCCCTACCTCCCGCCCTCCCTCTCTCTTCTGAGTTCAGATAATGAAGTTGAATAGTTGAGAAACTAAGTTAAAAGTTACGATTATATTAAATTAGCTTCACAAAATTTCTTATCTTACAATTTCTTAGAAATCAACAGATACCCAGCTGGGTTACCTTGTGGTTTCAGGATTATACTCTTTACTAATTTATTAAGTTTTTTTTAGCTATTTACAAACCTTTCGTATGTTTTTCATACTGTTATTTTTTTGTATGCGGTTATATTTTGAAATACATAATCGTAATTTCTCTTCAGGTTAATAGAATAAAATGGAGCCAATATCTACCGCTGTTTAAAACCTCTTAAAAATTAATGAAGATTATTATTCAAGAACTTCGACTACTGGACTCCAGTTCTGCCTGGACCTGTCACTTGTACTCCAGTTCTGCCTGGACCTGTCACTTGTACTCCAGTTCTGCCTGGACCTGTCACTTGTACTCCAATATATATATATATATAAGTGGACTAAATGGGCTTAAATAATTTTGAGGAAACCAATAACTACCCTGGGGATAACATAGGCTAAACAAATTTCGATTTTTTTACAGTGGTAGTTGATTATATCAATTCAATGAAGACGACTTTTTTATCTGAATTTTGATTGTCAACAAGCCTTTTTTCCAGGCATTTTCCAGGCATTCAAAGTGAAGCTTCTCTTGACTTATATTTGTATGAGCATCCAGTCTGTTTAACAGCTTGATATAAATAAATAAATAAATCAAAATTGAAAAGTCGTCTTCATTGTATTGATATAATCACCTTTTACTTTAGTTAATTTGATTTTTTCGAAGTGTTTTTTTTAAACTCTACGGGCAACGCCAGGCACTTAATTCAGCTAGTTAAAACATATAAATCCAACTTGTAAAATATAAAGAAAAAATTCTGCTCAACGAAGTTCTGCCACTTCTCTATTTAAATAACCTTTAGCTTTTTTGCCAGAAAATTGAACATTTTTTTCCAATTTCATGGTCCTCAGAAACATTTTGTGAGTGGTCATAAAAACAAAAATTATTTTAAATTGTTGAAAAACTTTTTTAAAGTTGATTCTTACTTTGTTAAACTTCTTGGATAATTTAAGCAATGAAAAAGATCAAAATAGGCTTATTTTAACTTTCATGTCATTTTTTATCTTTAAAAATGTTTATAATTTAATATGCTTACTACCCAATTTGAATTGCAGTCCGCGGGGGAATATGTTTTGCATAATAAACATAAAGATTTTTATTGGATTTAAAATAAAAAATCTCATTACACCAAAGCAATGTAAACAACAATAATTGGATAAATTGTGCATTTTCCATAAATTATATTAATAACTAGCTGAAGTGCCCGGCGTTGCCCGGTAAATTTTAGAAACACTTGATAAAAAAAGATTTCAAATTTTGTAAAAAAAAAAAATCGAGCTTCGAAGGAAAAAAATCGTCTTTTTAGCCTATGTTACCCCCAAGGTACTCAAGGGTTCCCTACAAAAATTTCAGCCAATTTGGTTCAGCCGTTTGGCCCGCTATAGCTAACACTAAAAATATGAGCGAAGAGTAATATTATAGAGATTAAACCAAAGCAATCAAATTAATAAAGATTTAAAGAAAAAAATGAATTGTAATCACATTCATTAGAATTTAAATGTAAATGATCATATGACAGGTTGTTTTTACAATAAAATATTATGTTATTAATGAATGAAGCATTTACTTGAATCGTATTATAATAATTTATTTCTTAGGATTTGAAAACATATTTTTCCTTAGGACAGATAGTGACAAATTTTACGAATTTGCGTTATTTTCATAATAATACAGATTTGCATCTTAGTTGTCATATTTGTTGATAAATCCATTATGCAGGGTTACCCACAAAAGATGAGTCTGTACTCTGTAATGACTATACTTTAATCTATAACAGTCTGTATGAGAAATTATTCTTTTGCCTTTATTTTATTTTTTATTGTTAACAAGCTTTTTTCGAATTACAAGTTTACATGTAATCAAAGAGAAACTTTTTGAATTGACAGCTCTCTTGACTTCTATGTTTATGTGTCTGGAAATAAATAGACATTTAAATCGAAAGTCGTCTTTATTGTATTGATGTTATCGCTCAACTACCGTGTAAAATGATCTGGCTAAGAAATAAACAAATATATTTCCCTAGAACCAATAATGGAAAGAAAAATAATGACAAAAATCCGTATAATGTATTTGAAGATCTACAATTGAAAATTACATGAATTTGGAATTTATAGAAGATAATTTTGTTTCAGGTTGGATGTATTTTGTCGCCTGGTCAGTGTCTTTCTATCCACAAATTTATGAAAATTTTAAGCGTAAAAGGTAATTTTGAAAAAAAAAAAAACTCAATGTCATATTGGATTTGTTGTTCCAAAGAAATTGAGTCATTGCCACAATCTCGAATTTTATCATCCCTACTTATCATTGCAACCTGATGGTATAAACCTTTGATATTTCTATACTAAAATTAGTTGATTCAACAGAATTCAAAGGTTGAAATATCTAAGGTCTACAACATTGGGTTACAAAGATATAGGGTTTAGAAAATCCGAGTTTGTGGCAAAGACTCTATTCCTTTTGAATTCTAATATTCTGTTTAACGTAGTTTCAAGTCCAAATACAAAGCGTTATATACCCGATACACAGCGGAACCATTTAGCCCATTTAGTCACTTTTTTGAGAAAATCGCAAGTAAAAATAATTAATTTTCATCTAAAAGCCAAGGATTAGAGGGTAATCGGACATCGAACTTTTTAAATGGAGGTTTAAGTGGGCAGTTCCTATTAATGAAAATTTAATGGATTATTTAATGGAAATCATTATTTAAAATTCATCTCATAATTGCATTTAATTTTTATTAAAATTGAGATAAAAATAAAATTTAATAAACATAATTTAAAAAATTAAATATTCTGAATCAACCCAGAAGAGGAAGAGTTGAATGGGAATATTAAATCAAAAATAGAAACAAGTAAAAAACTTTTTTTTCTAGTGAAAATTGTTAGTTAATGATAATCGGACTGTGGGAATATTATTTATCTTGAATGCTTGATTTCGATATACAATGTTCTCACTATTAAATATGAAGATTAATGCTTAATCCCTCAATTAAGGTTATCCCAGTGCAGGGTATAACCATCGACATTCGACATGTTATATTGAAGAGGAACTGAATTTATCCTTAGATCTGTTTAAGATGGGGACCGAGATTCACAGCACAAAAGTTCTTACTTCTGATTTCATAATTTCCTTGTTTTACAGCTTGTCTTTGCAATTATTGTTTGATATACTAAAATATGTTTACTTCAAAATTTTTTTCATAATTTTGTCATATTTAAATTTTATTTTAACATACAAACACATATCTCTGAGAGAGAAAGACAAAATTCCATATAAACACTATCTTTTTAAATCTTAGAATCTGTTGAATTTAGTTCTTGGTACTTGTATGAGTAAAGTAATATTAAATTACGTCAACTATCCCTTTAAAATCTAATTTATTTTAGTGTTATCGGATTAAACTTTGATTTCCTGACATTGAACGTGGTTGGGTTTACAGTATACTCTATATTTAACGTCGGACTCTTCTTTGTGCCGACAATTCAGGTAAAGGAATTGAGTCATTGCCACAAACTCTGATTTCTTAATCCCTTTATCTCTACAGCCCAATGTTGTAGACCTAGGTATTTCAAACTATGAATTCTGAAGGATCAAATAATCAAAGTATCAAAGTTTGAATATTAAAGATTTACGCCATCTGGATTTAGAGATATAGGTATTAGAACACAGAGCCAAACCTGGAATAATTGAAAAATCACGTTTTTTCGACTTCAAACCCTGCACCGCGCTTTCATTTTGAAAAATTTTTCGACACGGGGGAAGGGGGGCTAAACGCTTGAAACATAAATTTTCTCCCACCCCCTCTCTCAAAAAGACGAATAAGACATTTTGACCCAAAATGGGTAATTGTATTTAGGCAACCTAAAAATTGCAAATAATAATATCTGCAGGACGAATATTTTGTTGAGCATCCTACCGGAGTTAATCCTGTTCAACCTAATGATGTTTTCTTCTCTTTACACGCAGTAGCAGCATGCAGTATTAATATCTTACAGTGTTTTATATATCAGGTAAATAAAATTGCATAATGTAGGAAGATACAATGTGAGTTGTGACGACATTTCACAATCTGCTAAAGAACCGGTATAGTTTCCACATTAAACAATACTTGTTAGAGATAAAACAAAGATAATTAGACACTTCTAATCTATTAAAGTTCACAACTGTTGAAACTTCTTCAAAAATAATAATATCGGCGCGCGTCGTGAATGAAGAGAGTTCTGGTCATGATATTAATATATTTTTATGCATTTTTTCGGCATGCAGCCATGATATTTTTAGCAGGGTCAATCATTAAAGCAGTGCGTAGGATCCGGATTCGTTGGATCCGCAAGATTTTGGCATCCTGGATCCGGTCCGGATCCGCAAAAATATGCGGATCCACGGATCCGGATCCAATGGGTAAAATATCAACCGAAAACTGCAAAAAAATCTTTTTTACTCCTAAAACCCAAATCGGAACTTTTGAAAAAAAGAGAGATTTCTTCATTTCTGAATGGTTCATCAAGTTTTAGGATAAAAATAAGCGGAAAAAATAAAACAAAAAATTTGAAAATTATTTTTTGTTAAAAAAATTCAGTAAATCTTAAAGAAATGACCTGGATCCGGATCCATTTTTTTCCAGTGCGGATCCAGGATCCGGATCCGCATCAAAATTAAATGGATTCTAAGCACTGCATTAAAGACAGCCATACACGGCTTGATTGGTCCTGCTACAAATGTTTTGTTATACGTATAAAACCTGGCATTTTAATTTGTATAATTTTGTTTGTAGAATTTTTTTTTACCATGCTAATAGCTTAGAATTAAAATGAGTATTTACTAACCTGTACTACCTGTGTTGTAGCGAGGACACCAGCGTGTATCCCGGATATGTATCCTACTCCTGGTTCTATTCTTCCTGTTTCTTGGAGCAAGTTTCATCAGTTCTCTAGCAGGAGCTTTAGCCTGGCTGCAGCTCCTATACTTCTGCTCCTATGTAAAGCTGACCATCACGCTAATCAAATATATACCTCAAGCCTTCATGAACTATAGGTAAATATTGGAAATCCAAGAAAGGAAATTAAATTTGAAAATTGTTACTATACAATTAAAAATTAGTCCTATATAAAAAAAAGAATATTTAAATGTAAAAACTATAGAGACACAGTGTCTGTGTGTCACTTGCAACAGTATTTCATAAACATTTGAGAATTGAATTTTTAACCCTAGCAGCGGATTTCCGAAATTTAGTCTGTCATTTTATGCGTTAACAAATATCTGAGATGAAGACATTTGCGTTTCTATTCATTAAATAAAACAAAAATTTCTCAAGCTATTATTTTATTTTTTAAAGAGGAGCATGTTAACTTCTTTTTATGTTTTGTCCTAATTATGCTAGGTGAGACTGCGTTAAACCAATTTAACAAGCATAATAATAAAATTATTGAAATTTAATCATTCATCATTTATTATTTAACCATTGAAAACAATAAAAACTGGAATTTTTTTTCTTTAAGACGTAAGAGTACAGTTGGTTGGAGTATAGGCAATATATTCCTGGATTTTACCGGGGGTTCTCTCTCCATCCTTCAGATGTTTCTCATTGGGTACAACAACGACGACTGGGGTTCCATCTTCGGGGATCCAACCAAGTTCGGTCTGGGTCTTTTCTCCATCCTCTTCGATATCCTGTTCCTTGTCCAGCATTACATCCTGTACAGGAATAGTGTACCCCATCAGGAGCTGGAGGGGGTCGATAGAGAGAGATCTCCTTCTCCCAACCTGGAGCACCCAACCATGGCAGATGATCTTTGAAGTTTTAACTGAGGATTCAACTGCTTGATCAAAGGATATCTTTCTGTCCAGTGGTCGCTAATATAAAGGATAATAAAAAAAACACCAAAGAAAGGTGTTTTAGAGTTTTCGAATTGAAAATTTTTTTAAGATTTATTTAAGGCCGAACAGTCGGCTTTGTATTTCACTTTATTTTGATGAGCACTGTAAAATATTCGAAGTAAAGGTGTCAAATATACAAGCAAGTTCTAGTCATTGTTATAGATTAACAATTTTGACCCAGTTGATCTGTTCATGATCTTATACTCAGGACTATACTTTGAATATGTGAGCTTTAAATTTTTAATTTCATATTAATTTCTTTTTATTGTGCAGTGTGCATTTCATGTAATTGACTAAAATTTATAAAAGTAGACTGATTGTTATAGTTTGTTATATCCGGTTTAGTTACCTAATAAAATATCATCTGCTAATTCTTGCAAAATAATTTAAATTAAAGGGTCAAACACAAAGAAATTCTTAAAATAAAACGATCTCTGAAGATAACAGTAGAGATTCAGTTCAGACATAATATCTAACAGTAGAGATTTAGTTCAGACATAATATCTAACAGAGATTTAGTTCAGACATAATATTTAACAGAAGAGATTAAGTTCAGACATGAGTTCCAACAGTAGAGATTAAGCTCAGAAATAATATCTAACAGAGGAGACTAAGTTCAGACATGATATCTAACAAGAGAGATTAAGTTCAGACATGAGTTCCAACAGTAGAGATTAAGCTTAGACATAATATCTAACAGAAGAGATTAAGTTCAGACATGAGTTCCAACAGTAGAGATTAAGCTCAGACATAATATCTAACAAGAGAGATTCAGTTTAGACAAAATATCAAAAACAATTAAAAACACAATTATTCAATGAATTAATGTTTATTAATACGTTAATGAATACAGATGAGAAAATGTCGTCTTCTCTATTTCTTCAGCTTCTCATGAACCATTTCCCTAAACTGTCCCAGGATCTTGTTTTCTCTCTTCAACCTCTCCTCCTTGCTGAAATAAAAAACATATTAAATTCATAACGATAGAAAAATGTGGGACACAAAGTTTAGAAATAGTAAATTTGTTATGACCTAAAATCCTCAGATAAGGTAAAAATAAAAAACTCAAGACATAAATTGGATTTTTAATTTATTTCACATTATATTTTCTTTTAATTTTAGATAGATATTTTGCCTACTTCGCAGTATTATTCCTTTCTAGTACAAACTATTTGAATCAAAACAAGAATTGAGAAAGCATATTGAACAAATTGAGGAAACCAGCTGAAGAAGCACATAAGGTCAAAAAAGGAAACTTTATGAATTTACAATTATGGATGAATTCGTATTTACCTGAACATTGCAAGTGCTCTCTTTTCATCTGCAGAATAGATTTGGTTTTCCTTCCTCAGTCTAACCGCCTCCATTCTTCGGTGTCTTGACCCACTCATCACCCACCTAGACAGTTTACAGTTTAATATATATATACACTGTCAATACCATCATATAAGGCCAAACATTTAAATTTAAATATGTAAATACATTACACTACCATGGAAACCCAGCTTTGCCTAAAGATCTGT